CCGCGGCCCCCAGTTTGAGAACCACTGCCCTAGGAGGTTTGCGCTTACACCTTTACGTTTGGTGTAATTCCTTCATTAGCCAGCAAGTGGCAGTCGTGGCATTTAGAATCTAATTAACACTTTTAACACAAATCTCCAAAGACTGAATTTCTTTCCAAGGGTAAGAAAAGCAGTGCTGAAAGCTTTTGGTTTTTGTTACTTGTTACTGATGAGTTATTGTTTCATTAATTATTAGCTCTTTGCAGCACATAAAGAATATTAATCGACCAAATATTTTTGGAAAGGTGTATAATCCATAGCATTTGTTATAGTGTAACACTCTGTGTAGTTGTACCGCTAAAAAGAATCGAAATGGGCTTTTCGGTGAAACAGAGCCGAGGGTGCGAGTGCCAGACCTTAACTCGCCCTTGGCCTTTAGCTATTGTCTGTGGCAGAGGCAGGAAGGGGTTAATCAGAAATGGCAGCGCAGACACACGCACTTCCTGCGCTGTGGTTTGGAGAACACAGTTGGTCACTCGCCCTCTCAAGCTGACGCTTTCTGCTGTCTCTTCCCAAAAACACCACACTGACACAGCCCCCGCATAATGGGGGTGTTCAGTGCCGCACCTGTAGTCTGCCCCAAACAGTGGGCTGCTCACCCCTTTGGGGATACTCTCCTTCAGGTAGTCGACAAACAAACCTTCCTTTTAACACGCTCCTTTAAGACACCCCAATCTTATAGCCAATAGTCACTGCCAAACCAGTTTTAAAATATAAATTATATACCCATATCTACAGCCCTGCAGCTGTGTGATGGAGTGCTTGTGAATGAACATACATCATGCTGTGTGTTAAAATCATTCTGCTCCAGAATAAGTGAAACCTTTTTTGTCAGAGTGAAACTAAATCAGAGAATCCAGATTGCTTATCTCTCAGACTAATTCCTTTTTTTGTGGAATCTGCACCATTAAACACTGTATAGATATGCCATGGTTATCATCCTCCTCTCTTAACACACAAATGAGGACACAGGGACCAAAGTTGATCTGTTGGTGATCAGTATTTCCATGTAGGAAAGAGTGTGTCTGATGTGTGCCTGAGTATAAAGCCTACTTTTATGTAACTTACCCATCTACTGGGCTGTTCTGGCATTTCATATGCTAAGATACTTATCACACATCAGGTGTGTGGAAACAAAATCGAGCATCAGAAACCTCCACAGTCTCCCTCACTATGCAGCGTTAATGTGAACCGTTAAGGTCAGAGTCCATTCTAGTCCCTGCCCAGACACTTTCTGCTCTAGTGGTGTCTACATCATCGTGCTCACATGATGGAACACAAGTCTACTGACATTCAAAAGGACATGTTTAGAGCAAAAGTCACGCTGAAAGGTCACACAGACGGCCGAGGAATCAGGAAGTCATGAGGCAGGCAGGGAGCCACAAGACCTTTCGTCAGACCCATTATGGAGCACAAGGGGTTTGCCACCCACCACTCACCGATAAGGTCACACAGGAACAGGACATGGAGCTGATGTGGGATGGAGCATCTTACAAGAGGAGACTCTGCAGGGGTTAATGAAGCATGAGGAAGCAGATTGGGGGGGGGGTTGTGGAAAACAGAAACCAGAACGGAGAAGAATTTTCAAAATGAACCCGCAAATGGGCCATAGGTCACAACGGGAGCTGAAGGAACAGCCAGCAGGGGCCAGAGAGCCGTCATACACATGGTGAGGGCCCTTCTGCGGTAAACAGTGAGGCTGGGGGCCAGTGTGGAGGAAGGTCCCATTTGCCCATGCTGGTTTCACAATGGCCAGGTCCGCCAGCACAATCATGGCCACTCGTTTCCTGTATGGGGTTACCCACAGTCGTTGGGTTAAGTTCCTAAACCTCAGGCCAGTGGGAGCTGATTACGGACTAACCTGGGAAATGGTGTCTCGCACACGTCTGCGAGGTCTTCCCAGAGGAGGCCCTCCTCGACGTGGAGGAGAGCACGCCTGTGAGCGAGTCTGGAAGGCTGTGGACCATGATTCCCACTGGACCTGGCCCAGGCCCCCAGCCCTGGCAGGAGGATGCAGAAGCCTCCCCAGCTCGTATTCTGCTCTCTCCACCTCACTCTCTCTATCCTCCAACCACCACGACCCAGAGCATCACCACAGCGGTATTCTGGTTACACTCTGGTTTGCCTGCACGTTCAACTTCTGTCACGCCGGGTGCAGATTCAAGAGGCCCCAGCCCTCCCCCCTCAGAGAATGCAGAGAAGGCTCCCCCCACCTAAAAAAGACCAAACCTTGAAGACTGTTTCCACTGCCATCATCCTCATGTTTGCATTCATGGCACGTGGGCAAGCTGACCGTCTCAGAAGCTTCCTGATCAGGCAGACCGGAGATGACCCAGCTGCTCATTCTCAACGCTCATTGTGCAGATGGAAAATCTTCATGTTTCAGTTCCTACCATTTGCAGATATAAATATTTAACGTATAACATCAGTACGCTTCCTGTTTTTAAAGTCTGTTAGATTCCGAGGCTTGCTGGGTCTCACGGTCACCAGGATGTAATCATAAGCAGGAAACAAAGCGTTTCACTGGATCTTTAATCGAGCATTGAGAAGTCGTCATAATGCAGTTCTGCATCATGCTCAACCAGTAGTCAAAGTCAAGCCCTTTTCTGTGGTACAAAACTGGGCAATTGCAGAACTCAGCAAAACAGGAAATTTCACATTTCCTTTCCTGCATTTAGCAACAGCTTGTCTTACAAGACTTCTGCAGATGCACCCGACGCGCGTATACATACCCATGCTCACACTCGCACTCACACCTCAAGCCGCAGGCTCATATCAACCATCTAGGGATTAAAGCGGCTTTGAACTTTGTCAGGCAAATGAGATACTCAATGGAAACCTTATCAGAGGTTTTTTTTCTCACTCGTGTATACAGATGACTGGCCATAAGGTAACACCACAGTGATGGTACTGCTAACTTAAACCCCACTGGCCATGTTTTACTCATGAATCTCTGCCATGCACAACTGTTGTTCTTAAAATAGGTCAGAATTTGTTTCCAAGTCCATATTGAGTAGATGATGGAAGCCACTTCAATATGATGTTGGTCTCTGCCATGTCTTCTTGATGACTCTTGGTAGCAGTTTGGGTCTGAATGTCATTAAGAAGATCACAGTGACCCCCAGTAGTGACAGGACAACCGGCAGGAAGAGGACAACATACCACCAGCTGGGCTCTCTCTTGTCCTCACACACTGCCCAGGGTCTCGCCTCGACACTCTGCTTGCCCCGATTTAAGAGCAGACATGTCATCTCAGCCTGGTCCTCTATGGTCAAACTCTTCACATCCTTAAACAGTTGGTACCATTCCAGGTTACAACAGTTGAAGGGGTTTCCTCCAAGAAAAACCGTCTGTAGCCTCTGGGCTAGGATTCTGGCTTGATGAGGAGGGATGGTCGTCAACTCGTTGCCCATCAAATTTAACCACCTCAAATCAAGGCTCATCATGGATTCTGAAAGTTCGAAGAGGAAATTCACTGACATATTTAAAGACCTTAAATGACGGAAGGGTGTAAAATCTAAATGGGATGTGCCAGTGTTTCCCAAGCCCAAGTACTGCAGAGTTCTATTGAGACTCATCAAAGAATCATTCCTGATGAGGATGTCTGTGTTTTCTGACAGTTCCAGATGCGTTAACTGGGTTCCCTCAAAGGCCGAGGAGGGCAGTGAGCCCAGGTTGCACCCTGCAAGGTACAGCTCTCTGAGAGAAGCCAAGTTTCTCCATGTCACACAGTCAGAATCATCAGCAACCTTAGTGTCCTCCTCTAAGGAACAGATACCAATATGGTTGTAACTCAGATCTACTGTTTTGAGGCTGGGGAGCGATTGAAATAGCCTTGAAGGGATTTGCTTAAGGTCATTAAAGCTCAGATTGACATGTATAAGATCCCTCAACTTATTCCAAGAGCTGTGGTTACCTTTGAATAGATATAAACTGTTGTCACTGATATCCAGCTCCTGCAGAGACACTGGGAGCTCCACTGTCCTCAGGTCGAAGGACTCCAGGCAGTTCTTCTGCAACTTTAGTCTTTTTAAAGATTTCAGCTTGCTAAGGAATCCTTCAGGAAGGTAACTCACCTGATTGCGACTCAGATCAAGGAGTTCCAGTGCGGAGATTTCCCCATGGAGACTCTCGTCCCACAGTGTGGCTGACACTTGGCTCGCATTACTATCCATGTTAGAGAATAGGACCGTGTTGGTCCAGTTTGGAGAAGTGTTTTCAGCAAGGTGCTCGTAAAAGCTGATGCGGTTGTCAGCGAGCAGCAGGTGGCGAATGCGGCTCCTTGTGGGGAGGAAGGGAAAGAAGAGGAGGCTGTTGCTGGAGAGATCCAGAGTCTCCAATTCGAAGGTATCTTCCAGATCCTGGTTGGACACAAACCACTCGATGGAATTGTGGCTTGCATTCAGTAGCACCAGCTTAGTGAGTTGGAACTGGATTAAGCAGGGCAGGCGGTTGAAGGCCATGGTGAGGCGCTGGAGGTCCTGAAGGCCATCAAACGCCCCATCAATCTCAAAGAGCATGTTCCTGTCCAGGTCCAGCTCCTTCAGCTGGTGAAGGTCCTGAAATGTGCTTTCATCTAACCTCAATAGGACATTTCTGGAAAGGTACAAGTATTCCAGGGAGGTCATGTTCTCCAGCAGGAAGGCCACCATGTCTTCAGTCAGCCCATTTCCAGAAAGGTCCAGGCTCCTAAGTTTGACCAAGGTGTGTAGCACCCAGCCCGTCTGCTGGTATCCAGCATGCAGGTTATTATCAGCTAGATTCAACTCCTCCAGCATGTGTGGAATATAGAAGGAATTCATCTCCACGGCGTCCAGAAGAGCATTTGTACAGCTCAAACTGCGGAGTGCGGGGTACCGAGAAAGGCCAGAGCTGTGCAGCACTTTGATCGGATTGTGATTCAGTTGAAGCTCATCGATGTTTTCTGGCAAATCTCCAGGCACCGACGAAAGCTGGCAGTGGCTACAAAAGGCAGTTTTTTCAATCTGTGAAGTGAGAGGCAGAAATTTAGCAAAACATGCATAATATTGTAAATATCACCATGAAAGAGAAAGTGCTTGAGAGAACAGTCGTTGGTGTGGCGGCTGTGGATCAGATCAGCTGTCACCATGTTCTCCGGCAGCGAGGTGTATACAGAGAGCAGAGTAGGGAGAGCCACACCCAGAGTGCTCGCCCGCTGCGGCGACTCCGCTCCGCAGAAGCTGCACACGCCTTCCTGTAACTGTTGAGCAGCTCACCAAACAAAGGCCAGACCCCATGCTCAGATCAATGAAGCTGCGGTTTGTGAAACTCAACGACAGCCATTTCGCAACTAACACTCAAACTCCAGAGGGTGAGTTAGCTACTGCTCTTTAACCAGGTGGACCTGGGGAGGCTTCAGGGAGCGCTGTGGGTGGGGGGGAGGGGTGGCAATACTTAACAGTGACTATAAATGTACACAGTGAAACAAAATGAGATGTTTAGCACCTGCTTGTGATGTGCTTTAACGTAAAAAGTCTTGTTACGAATAGAAAACTGTACAAGAAGAGGCATGAGCAAATGCTTCAAAAATAGATATAAGCAACCCTATATAACTAAAAAAAAATCTGTGGTGTAGTTTAGAAACAATGTCAGTTCCTGAGCTCATCTACCCCCTCCCCCACCCACCCACCCCCGCCACCATTGTTCAGCCCAGTTGGCAGTAACATTCCCCCAACAAGCTTAGAAATCAAGTATCTAGTTACTGAAGAACATCGACAGCTCAGTGTAGACGACCACCAGCGGAGCAGTCCGCCAGATTCAGTACTGACCAGCTTGCACGGTGAGTGCAGCGGAAGGCCGGAGCTTTGCATCAGCAGGTTCCACGCTGGCCCCAGGGAGAAGCACACTAAGCAGGGCAGGAGGTTTGAGACGATGCCCATCATATGGTCATCTCTGGTGGAGCACAGTGAAAAGGGAAAGACACAAGAGAGAGATTATGATGGTGGTGATCATCGGTTCTCGGTGGATGGCAGGAGCCACCCGGCAGGGAGGCGGTGGGCCGCCCCAGTGTGTGGGCAAGCCAGCCTCGGCTTGAAGTGACAGACGTCACTCCTACACAGCAAGCAGCATCATGGCATATGAGCGACAACATCACACATCGATGTGAATCTGCCCTGTGCCCGGCCTCAGTGTTTCCATGGGGACCATGCAAGGGCATCACACACCTAAGCATACACACCCATCAAATTATTCAATCAACTCAGGAAAAAGAAGACACAGCAATAAAATTATAAAGCACACGTTTTCCGAATAACTACCATGAAGCAGACATTACATTATATAGCACAGGTCAGGTCAGGTTGTGGAGCATATACTGGTACGGCACGTTGCCACACCCACCACATGATGAAACACCTCAGGATCCAGGTTGGCGCCCCCCCAGGTTGACATGCGATCCAGTCCCACCCTCCGGAAATGTCCGTCTATCTGCCTCAGCTGGGTGTTACGTGGGCGTCCCCTCAGCCTGGTCCAGCCGCTCGGGTCCTCAGCACTGAGGATCCTGCCAGCCGGATGACCCTCACGGAAATGCGCCACATGGCCGTAGTGCCGTAACTGATGCTCCCTCACGATGCAGGTAATGTGCCTCATTCAGGACTCCTCTAGCAACTGGTCATTTGACACAAAGTCAAACCATCGGTACCCAAAGATTCTCTGAAGAGACAGAGTATCAAAGGAGTCCGGTCTTCGTCTGAGCTCACTGGGTAACTTCCATGTCTCACAGCCATACAGCTAGACAGGGAGAACCAGGACTCTAGAGACTTGGATCTTCGTCCTCTTGCAAAGATATCGGGAGCCACACACCCCCTTTCCAGCGACCCCATGACCCCCCATGCTCTCCCAATCCATCTACTGACGTCATAGGAAGAGTCAGCGGAGACATGATTGTTGCTGCACGTATGTTCTGGTTTCTGTATATTCACTTTAGTTACTCCCAGGCACTTGTTCACGTCCAACTCTGAGGATTATATATTTATGGAATATTGTATAAGGCAGACCTAAAAAGAAATGTTATGATCTTTTTCTATCTACAAAACACTATAATATTAAAATGAATGGATACAATTTTGTTTGGGTTCCTGGAATCCATTTAAATCATGCTTATGTTTAGATTTGTCGTTTATTTTCCTTATCCCAAATTTGAATTAATAATGTAGTAAGAGAGTTTAAGTAACAACAAAATTACAATATGGTAGTTTTACACTTTTTTCTGTTGTTAAATTAATGCGTTCATATTGGATGCAGTGTCCATTATAACACTCATCATCAAAATAATGTGTTGTCATGTAAAACTGTGAAACAAGAGTTTTCGGTCAATTTGACTTGGAAGACGTGTTGGATATGGTTTGAAGCGCGAATATCAGGGTATCTCTTCGGCTATCTAAGACCCGCTATATGTAACCGCTTGCGGTTTCCCCGCTACAATCGCGACGAACTCGGATGCCACAATAAGCGAGGAGCTACGGTTTAAATAACGCAGGTCACCCGACGAATGGTCGCTTGAACGGATTTGCTTAGCGATCTCGCTGTAGTTCGTTGCTGGTTTACATGCTGTGAGTAATTTTGCATATAAACGGACCTGGAGTCTGTACCCAGGTTAAGTCAGTAACTTACGCAGGCATGATGGTCCTGATCGTGCGCGCACCTGCGGACCATGTTCCCGGCTCTTGCCCGAGGCTGGCCGTCTTGCATGCAGCAGAGAGGGATGGTGCCCTGCATCCTGCAGCTTCAGGACTGACTGACTGACTATTTGCGGAAGCAGCAGCGCAGCGGAAACTGAGTCACATGAAGCGCTCAGTCCGTGCAAAGCGACGCTTTAAGAAGCCGGCGAGCACATCATCAACTGCACCCATATCTGATAAATGCTTACAATTAAAAATAAATGTTCGGCCTCAATGAAAAGTACCCTGCATTGTGCATTACACAGATAACCACACAGTTTTAAAAAAGGTAATCCATTTTTTATTTTTTTTTTATTTAATATAAAATAAAAAAAAGACCCGGTGTCCGTACCTAAAGTATTTTAAATTTGTCTCCGCATTGTGGTGACATAAAAAAATAGATGAAGAGATTAAGGCGAAAAGAGATGTGCTAAAACGGAACACCCTTAACAGACACATGGAAGCAGGGGACATCAAACTTCATGTGATTTACAGCCCACAACCCGCATTATGGACTTAACAGCTATACTATATTATACGGGCCAGAAAACAATTGAAAGTCACCATAAAATTACCGGAGCTAAAGTGGTCAAGTTTCGTCTACCGATTGTTCATCCTAGTCACCAAAGATCGTATATAATACGGACTAGTACATTTAGTACTAGCAGAAGACAAATTAAACGTGACAGCAGACAGACCCTCTCAAGCTCAATCTAACAGGCATATGACAATTCGCAGTGATTTCACTTTTCCATCCATCCGCTGCAGACAAACCCCATGGATTACCGTGGCTGCGGTCCAGCCACGTGTGGAGATTTAACTGACCCATTTAATGTACTGCGATCCGTATAATATGTGCACACATGTGCATATAGATGCATCCATGTATGCTCCAGCTGCTTATGCTGTACGTACAGGGTCCCGGGAGCTTGTGGAATTACAATGAGTGGTCTTCAAGCGCTAAAGGGTTAACCAGGCTCACATTTCATTGGGGTCTTGAAGTACTGATCCAGGATTCAGCTGAACGCATGTCCGCTGGATTTCGCTTTACCTACTAACAGCGCGCCGTGAACAGACCAACAGCACAGCATTGTGGAAGAAAAACGCACTGCTGCTATTCATTCATTATCGGGTTTTTAACACTCCTGCTGGCGCATACAGACGCCAGATTCTGCGATTTCAAAGACGTGCGCCTCAGACGATGGAAATGAGCATTACATCATCAGAAAGCTAAACGCCTGATATATAGCCAGCTTTTCGTTTAAAAGAAGCCAAAGCGCTGTATGTTTCAATGTCAGCCGAGTAATTTTTGCAATTAGCATCTATATCACGCTTCAAAATCACAAAGTACCGCCTTCAACAGAAGCTGGTTTCTAAGTCCTCCTTCTTGGTAATGACAACATTCTGTCTCTGTACCATTTCAAGCCTCAGAAAATTCTTACTATTTTGACAAAGGCACTAAATTATTTACATTTATTTAACAGACGCTTTTTAAGCAATGTACACTTTTGAGAAAGCAGGATCAGCCAGTCCCTGGAGCAGATGGGAGTTGAAGGCCTTGCTCAGGAGCCCAATGATGACATCACTCCACTGATTCTGGGATTGAAACTGGTGACCTTCTGATCACAGGAAAAGTCCTAACTCACTAAGTCACACATCTGTAATGCGCACAGGACAAACCCAAACTGATGTCACTTGCTGTAAGCTACACAGTCTTTATTTAAAGGCTTTTTGACCTCACTGGTAGCAAAGATAAAATCCAATAAATACACTTCATGATACACCATATGACAACAAAGGGGGTAAACATGGCAGGGAGACACTGTACAGTAGGGTTGGGTTCATGCATGCTCAGAGAAAGGCTCCATGTTTGACTGCATGCCACTAGTTAGCTACCATAAAGGTCCTTGAACCCTGACCCAAGTGGCCAAGTCATCTAGGAGAGACTCATGAGATAATGATGCACACAGAGGATGAACAATTACAAAGCCACGTCTACGTGCCACCTTAACGGTCACTATGCGCGTGTCTGATAACGTTTCCTGAAACTACGCTGTAATCGTTTGCCACTGTCCCCGTCTCATTTGGCCTCGTTTCAGCAGATGTCCTGGGGATTTAAGCCATGCTGCTTCTTAGTAAAATGGAATAAAAAGTTTTCCTTGTACTGTATACATGTTAAAATTTCCCAGCAAATAAGTCCATGAGTCCACACTGAGACATGTTAGTACTCTAAGTCCACTAGGATTGAATTGAGGAGCCTCCACGGTGTCGGTGTGTGTGTGTGTGTGTGTGTGTGTGTGTGTGTCTGGCACTCCTGTCTCCCGTCCCAGAATGTCGCTACACACTCTGTGAGTCCTTGGCACGCCTTTGCCAGCAGAGCCGTGTCTGACGAGGGCCATTCTATCCATCCAGGGGCCTCCCCAGGTACACCATAGTCACTTCTGTGTTTCCGTACACGGCCGACACCGCTGGGAAGAGACAGGCTTTGGGAAGCCCCCGGAAAGCCACCCCGAGGAATTCAAACCCTCGCTCGAATGCCAGCGTCTTGTCTTCCATGTCCAGGATGACGCGGATCCTCTCGCCGATCTGTAAGATCGCAGGAGGTCTGTCAATCACTTCAGCTCGCAAACCAACAACTCGTGATAAAAACACAGCAGGAATTCCAGACAACTATGCAGGGTCTGAACAGAGAGAAGCTTTGCTGTTTTTACATTTTTGATATCACGGTACCATCATCTTGCAGTATATGCACAGGAAATGAGCTGGGTACTTTGGAAAGGGATGCATTACCTTACATGCATTACATGTTTTTATCCAGAGCAGGGGCCCAATGGTGACCCTCTGCCGACTACAGGGTTTGACCCAATGACCTTCCAATCACAGGAACTTGTCCTAACCTATCATTCTTTAGAAATCAATGTTTATTAGATAACAAGCGTGGGAGGGTGTGCCAGAAAAGATATCTGGCACTATCTGCAAACTGACCTGGTACTTGGGGGCGTTGTTGCACTGGGGGAAGTTGCCGTTGACCTCGCCGTTATGTAGCAGGCTGTTGTCGACCAGGTTCCAGCCCCAGCTTTGATCGTCGCTGCCCAGGAGCGCTACATAACCCTGGCATTGCATGGGCGCCCGCTTGGTGGCTAAACCGATTACCGCCACCGTGCCCAGTGGCCCCTCCCACCAGATCTCCCAGGCGTGGCGGCCCTCGGAGAAGCCAATCTTGCCCCGCGCCCCGTCCGTGCTCTGGGCGATGGGGTTGCGGTGAAGGGTGAAACCGTTCTTCTTGACGTAGACGTTGCGTGAGCAGTCGTGGGAACTGAGGGCATGTTGGTAGGACTTCAGCTATGATGGAGGAGACGGATAAAGTATTTAATTAACAGGGGGAGCCCACTAATGCGCAACACTGTAAACAACACATTCACAGCAACCGGATCTAACTGGATCCATACAGTACAGGGTCACAGAATTAGCCAGTGTTATGCGACTAAGCTGTACACTGTAAATGTACACTGTGTTCAGACCTGGAGAGACAGAGAAAAGGATATTAACTCTCCCCAACATTGTTGTAAAAGGTGTGACCCATCAATAGCAAAAATGCTTTTGTGATCCTGACAAACTTGCAATGCGGGTGCCTTCAAGCAGGACACTGAAAAACCCAAACAGAAAAGAGAATTTGCAAAGTGGAATAAATATGATGTAATTACAGCATCTACACTTGGACCGTTAAGAACCCCTGGCTGTTCCCGGGTGCACTTCATGGTTTCATGAATCATTCATTGTCTCATCTCTGGGACCGACGTGTGCCTGGTACACACATCACAACACAGAGGTACAACCGTTGCCTTCAAAAACGAGTCACTGGACTCTTGTGCTGTCACAAGATCAGTATTGTGAAGAATACTGGGTCAGGTTCTCTTAGCTGCGTCCATATAAAGTTCGCTTGTTTTCTGGGAAAATTTCTGTACGCGATTCTGGTTGAATCACACACATGCCCGTATTTCCTTTAGAAAAGCCGCCACGGTCATCGATCTCCGGTGAGCATCACAGAGGCCGGCCCACCATAAACATGATGTAATTTTATGGCGCTGCAGCCATGCAAACCCACCATCACCCCTATCCTAACCCTGCAAAACCACCATAACTGCAGACCTCTAGGGCAATGTTATGCACCGCACGGCGTACGGAGCCCATGCACAGGCTTCAAACAGCGTGGCGCCGGTGATGGAGGCGCCGGTACCTTGCCCTTGTAGGTGGGGATGTTGCAGAGGATATCGGAGCGCAGCGCCTCCTCGCTCAGGGTGCGGCCGCACAGGGTCCGCCATACTTCGCTATTCTCGTCCGACAGGCAGCGGTTCCAGTGCCAGCACACCAGCGAGCAGCGAATCAGCTCCGGCAGTTCCAGGTACGAGAAGATGTGCTCTAGGACGCGGGTGGGAAGGCGCCCCGCGATGCCCACGCCGCCACCGACGGCTCCGGGCGCGCAGGGTCCGGCCGCGCCGCCGCAAGAGGGCGCCCCGCCGCCGGCCGCTCCCGACATAGCAGAGAGAAAAGGCGGCGGCTGGACGAAAATGGATGGCCGCTGGATTACAGTGGGTAAATTATAAGTGAACAGTATCCACCGGTCGGTAGCCCGTTAACGGCCGGGTCGAAAGCACTGTACTGCGGACGGAGCACAGCGCAGACCCACCTCCATACACTTGGGAGCGGATAAGAAACGAAGCGGCGCAGCTCCAGGTCCTGGCTGCTCATTATAGCAACTTTACCGCTCCACCGTCTTAACTCAACTGAGTTAAGTACTTGTAGCTTACTATACGTTCATATTAATACGTATAAAAATATACATAACATAAGAGCGCCCGTTAATTAATTATCGGCCGATGATAATACAGCTGACATATACATTCCTATCAGGACCTGATGAAAGCCTGCCCCTGTCTGCAATAGCGGGGGTGGGATCGCCATTGACCGGCTGATCCTCTATTTAAATAGCCCGGCTGTATTTTTTCCGGGACGGGGCATTAATAAAGCCTGGGATCGCCATTCACAGGCTGATATTCTATTTAAATACCCCGGCTGTATTTATTTACGGGAATATGGCGCTGGGATTTAATCAGAAGCGACCAGTGATCAAAAGCAAATTTCTGGATCCCATTACAGCTGTCACTACGGCCGTATAGGCACTTCCTAAACTTATAAAATCAATTCCTCGCAATTACAACCGGGCAATGTACACACGTATGCCTTATTTTATATTGTGTTTTAACTGTGTTTCTGTTAAACTTTACCAGTTTTGATGTGCCATTGTTCACTTGTATTTTCGTTTCCATCGAATATTAGATTTTGAGTATAATATTTTGTTGCATAAACTGAAGTATTATGTGAAATAAATATTTAAAACAGAATTATGGAAATTCTGCACTTCGCTATTTTCTGCCCGCCTAAATTTGTTAGGACTACACAAAGCGTTTATTTGAAAAAGCTGATATCATCTCTAAAATGACGTTTCAACCATTATTCAGACAAAAACTTCGGTCCTGAAATGCTACAGCTACAATAAAAATAATTTTATACTGAATAAAAAATATTTATTCAAAAAGCTCCAAATGACATTATTTACAAGGCCAAAACATGAGCACCTTTCTCATTGAAGGTCAGTGGGGTTTACATATCTTGATCAGTTTTCTTTGCGTTAAAAACATTTAACCTAAATTCCCATGGTTCGTTTTCGTAAATTAGAGGCAGATTGAAATGTTAGTTGTGAAGTTAAATATTTGAACAGTAATTTAATTGTATCGGTTGCTACTTTAGGTAAAAATGAAGCTTTACAAGACCACAACAATGCCTCCAAAGTATGTGTTGCTTGTCTAGATTTAGTAGTTTTCTGAATGTTTCATAAAAACTTAACTTAGAATAGAGGTTAAATAGAACCTCGCACGCCATCCACTTTCCCTGCACTCTGTGACCAGGTTCACATATTTTGCCCTCTTCTGTTTGTGGGCTGGCTCCACCCCCTCCTCCCATGGAACTGTCAGCTCGAACAGTGCTGTGGACCACATCCGAAAGATCAGCACTGTTTCAGCAGCAGATTTCCTCTGGGAAATGGAGCCACCTGCCCAGATCCACCCCTGAACTCCACTCCAACCCTGATCTCAGGAGCTTAGGTGCTGGTCTCCTAATTATGTTGGCTGCAGGCTCCCCCTGCTTGAGAAAGTGGATCCTCTGTTGGCTCCCTGTAGGACTCTCTTTGTATGTCTCTTGCCTTCTTTCCTCCACCTGGACTTGTTGCCATCTAAACCGAACCTGTGTCAGTTCTGTCTTACAAGCTGACAGAACGTGCTGGAGAGATGCATTGATGGTCCCACAGAGGTCACTGGTTTGCTCTTTCCCAAGCCACTGACTGAGGCTGCAAGGACAGGATAGAATATATTTTCTTTATTGCATGTGATGGTTTTCTTTCCAAATAATCAAGGTATGCATTGACGTCACTTTCCTGCCAGAACACAGAGTGGCAAAACAAGCTGAATCATGGCTGATTTTAGTCAGGGAAACTGAAACAAACAATCATCTACTTAAATTACAGGCAGTTGGACTGGACAGGGATCCATACAACTCTCCGAAGGACCAGTGGACCATGGACATTATCTAGTAATTGGATTTCCTGACAGCATATTTTATAGGATTTTTTAAAGTTATCTGGCTAATTGTCTAAACTTGCTTTGTGGAATAGCCCCTTATAGGGAAAACTGGACTTGTCTTGGCAGGCTAACACTATCTAACCATCCCCCCACTTTGTTTTTAGAACACAAGTGTCATCATCATGGATGATTTATTAATAAATGCTAACAAAAATGTTACAGTTGCACAGAATATAAATGAATGATGCTAAGTATTTAACTAATGAGTAGTCAGTAAAGCATATAACCTAAAGCATGGTTTCACCATAAAATCCAAAGTATCTGAGAAGAAATGACAACTGCACATCCACGTTTCGGGACCTGGTTTCCAGTTGTTTCTGTGGCCTGCATCGATCCATTTGCTTCTCTTTTCTTTTCAGGCCTGGAGATACAAGCTTCACTTCTACATGTGTGAGAAATGTGGTCAGGTTTGTCTGCTTCAGATGTAGTAGGACGTACAGGCAAGTTGTTGGTGAATTATACATATACTCAGGTAGATTATGGGATTTAATTAGAATATGGGAGGGAAGACAATGTGATGAAATAAAGCGAAACTAACTAATCTGGATCTAGTCGGTTGGCAAAGTTTAACGGTCTAAAAATTGGCAATAAAAAAAAATAATAAAATATAAAGATCCAGCCTAAACCGGACGTACAAGAGCAATCGGGAGTATGAATAACAAATAACATTTATTTAAAATATATATTATAATGTTTATATCTACCAGAAATAAGACATTCCAAAATTAGTTTTGATGTTAGTGTAGTTCTTTTAAAAACTTGTCAAACAGGTAAGTGCATACTTAGTCATTTTTGCTTTAAAGATCCCATTTGGCGTTTCTGTATCTTTTGAAATTAATTACAAGCGACCGATTGAAGGAATGGTTGAACAAATCGATATTAAACGATCCTAAACTGCTGCCGCATGCATAGGAAACATCGTCGCAGAGTGACCGTTGAACTGTGATGATAACTCCTTTTTTTTAAATTGGGTCCCTGACATCCCACATACATTTAGATATGAAAGACACGGCAACCTTCACCAGCAGAAGCAATCAAAAGATGGACGAATGGAGGGGAGAGTGAGTGCTGTGTAGAAGTCATGTACTGCAGGATTAACAGGTTTTGAAAAGCTGCACAGGTAAAGGTTAGACAGGCTTAACCAGTTTAAGAAAGTAAACATTTTAATGGTTTGGTTCATTCCACTCTGACATCGAATATCCAAAACAGATTTCAGAAATAGAATTTCTCATTAATAAAAGTGCCATCTATCAATGGACACGGACATCTGGGATACATTTCCTTGTTGTTATGCCCGATTTGAAATAAAGGAAAGCCTTCGGCGCGAGACCCTGCATGCAGCGAATGCAGGGACGTGTGGAGCCGGACCGGAAGTGACGTAGCAGAATTGGGGCGGGTTTGGTGTGCAGCGGACTGGGATAGAGGAGGAAAGACGAGAAAAAGGAAGATTCACAAAATAATTAATAAACAACAGCCGATAAAGGAGGACGGATCGTGTAAGTAAAAGCAGGTTTTTTTTATATGCGGCTATCCACAGCACGCTTTGTTGGGTAGTCCTAGGGGTGCGGGTATCAAAGGAATGCTTGCAGGGATTCGAGGATGCATGTTGGGGTCCGGGGCTATATGGATTTGTGGATGCATTTTGGGATCCGTGGCTCCCAAACCGCCGTGCGCGTCCCACACGCGTCCGAACAGAGGCTTATGGTTAAGGTACCAGGGCAACATCGCAGGTGCAGCTCATATGCGGGTAACAGGCTGATGGACAGAAAGGGAAGCCCCACTGAACTATATGATCATGCACGCATTTTGACACCTGCTTTGTTGAACGGGCAGCGCAGAAATGCGGTCCTGCGGAACGCATGTCCTTTTGCATGCCGCCCGAGAGCTCGTGACAGGGGAGGGTAGAATGCACATGGGCTGCATTTACTGTTCACCTTGCAGACCAGGACGCTTCGCATGTGTGGTCTGGAGAATGGGGTCGCTTCCCTGCCTTTCGGATGGACACGGCTGGATCAAGCAGTGGGCACGTTTTAAAATAGCTTTTTAAATAATTGGCTTTTATTTGTATCCAGCGAAAGTACGCTCTCAGATGGATTTATCTGAAAGCTGTTTTTGCAAGCTTCCCTTATGATAATGTTTCATTTCCCATCTAACTGTATTTATATAGCTGTTATTAATGTGCGTATTATAGTTATTTTAAAATTTGAAATTAAACTCTTTGTATAACGAAATACAAAATCGGAATTAGCGGGACAGGAAGAATGTGATTTTCAGACAAACCTATGAACTTTACAGTACGATACCTCTGAACGTTGTAGTGGATGCCTGTGTCCACGGAGCAGCAATGTCACCTTCTGCATATTTATGTGCTGTCCTTCCTGTCCCCAGTGACAGCTGCTGCATTATGAACCCTGTTTACAGCCCTGCATCAACAGGGGCTCCGTTCACAAATACCAAGGGAATCGGATACCCAGGTAATATGAACAGCCTGTTGGGAGCTGTAATTAACAGCGGTCTCCACATGCTGGCGCTATAGTGAAGTTCCTTTCCTCTCCATCTGTCTGTCCACAGCAGGGTTTCCTGTTGGTTATGCAGCGGCCCCCACTTATTCTCCCAGCATCTACCCTGGGGGCAGCTCAGCCTTCCCAGCTGGTAAGAACTCTCTCTCTCTCACTCACACACACACACACACACACACACACTTGTGTTTTTCTATCCATGGAGAACTCCTTACAATTTTTCCAAAACTGTAAGATCTGTTTACTCTAGCAGCTGGTTTCCCACAAACACCCAGTGATCGCTTCAGTGTTTGGTAAACACCTTTAAGGTTCTCTATCTCGCTTAACTCAGGTCAGCTTTGCTCCTCACTTATGGCAAGTGCCCGTTTAGTGAAGTCGATTTAAAGAGTGTGACGTGTCCAGTGTGCCTGCGAAGTCATCTCTGATAATCTGCAGCATCCATATGAATAATAATAATAATAATTCATTTATGGTTTCCTGCTGTTCTGTCATTCATCTGACACCCTTTGGAGTCCTTGGACTGCCTTTCATAACGAGAGATGGAAGCAAAAGAGAATTTAAAATCCTTTGTGAAAGTAATTCTGAGTTACTGAAGGACTTGGCGTCAGACACTTGTGTCAGCCAGCTAGGTCAGCTTCTTTCACTCTCTCTCTCAGTCGCTCAGTCGCTCACTCAATCTCTCCCTCTCTCTCTCACTCACTTGCTCACTCACCCAGTCACTGACCCAATCTCTATCCCCCTCTCACTCGCTCACTCACTCACTAAATCTCTCTCCCTCTCACTAACTTACTACCTCACCCAATCTCTCCTCTCTTTCACTCACTCACTCACTCACTCACTCACTACCTCACTTACCCAATCTCTCCCCTCTCTCTCACTCACTCACTCACTCCATCTCTCTCCCCTCTTTCTCACTCACTCACTCACTCACTCACTCTCTCTCTCCCCTTAACTCACATACTCACTCAATCTCTCCCCCTCTCACTCGCTCACTCATTCACTCTCTCTCCCCTTCTCACTCACTCACTCAATCTCTCTCCCCTCTCTCTTGCTCACTCACTACCTCACTCAACCAGTCTCTCCCCTATCTCTCACTCACTCTCTCACTCACACACACTCACTCTCACTCACAAATGTCACCATTCATGACAGGTGACATTGAGAATCATCTTTCCCCAAATTCTGAGTCTTCAGTAAGGCTATGACATTTCTAGGACTCGTTTGGCTTTCCTCATATCTTACCCTAGCCCCCATGTAACCACGGTAACTCCTATTTCAGGTTTCACCTCTGGGGTGCCATACAAAATGTCCTGCTCGCCATCGGCTGGCGCGGTCCCAGCTTACTCCTCAACTCCAAACCCCTATCAGATGGCTGTGTACCCCCTGAGGAACCCCTACCCTCACCAGAACCCCTACGCCCAAGTAAGTGCCCCCAGCGCATCCCCAACATGGACGTTCTGGGCTGCCACCTAGTCTCTACTTCATGGGCTTTGATCACAGGGTGCTACTTTGAGGAGGGGGATGGGTCACGCTTCTCTTCCTGTCACTATGCTAGGGTGCATACCTCACCCAGCCGCTGTACGCTGCTGCCCCCCCTCACGTCATCCACCACACCACGGTGGTGCAGCCGAATGGGATTCCCACCGCTGTCTACGCCCCTCCCATCCCCGCACCGCGCACCAGCGGCGTGGCCGTGGGTATGGGTATGGTGGCGGGGGCCACAATGGCCATGTCAGCCGGTAAGACCCCGATTCCCCCCCCAAACATTATGTTCCTCATGGCCAGCTTCATCTTCAGAAGAATATGTTCTCCATTCTGTTCCCCTCCAAAGGAGCTCTGCTGACTGCTCACTCTCCATCTGCCGTGGCCCCCCATCCTGTGACGATCCCTCCCTACCGGACAGCTGGGACCCCCGCTTACAGCTATGTCCCCCCTCCAATGGTGAACAGCTGGCAGTGTGAGTGACAGCTAAAGGTTTTGTCAAAGCCCTCTAAACTTTTTCCCCTTTAATTAAAAATATTGAGCAATGTAGGGCTTTCAGAGAGTAATTATTGCTGCGATAGAACATGTGTAAATTTTATAGGACAGCAGAACTCATAAGGAGTTTTTGATGATAAAGTAACATGACCATGTACCTCCTGTCTCAAAGGGCGCTTTTCCACCGCACAAAGTACGGTACTTTCGGTACTTTCGCTTTTCCATTGACTTCCGGTCGAGTACCAGTACCGAAATCTCGAGTACCGAAA